ATTCCTCACGAGAGCCGAACACTGGAAACGACTCAAATGCTCTACGATGACGCAGCGAGTAAATTGCTGTATATTTCTAAAATGGAATACTACGCGGCAATGAAAACTAATGAATTACAGCTACACCCAACGACACGGGTAAATTTCATAACATAATGTTGATTGACAAGGGGCATATGTAATGAGACAAGGTGTCATTTCATCCATGTGAATTTTAAAAACAGGCTTAAGAAACCTAGGGGGTTAGAAATCTTTGGGGGAAGGGGAGAGTAAAGCACATGAGGGTTCCCTGGTGACTGCTGTTTTTGATTTCTTGGTCTGGATGGTGATCATATATTCATTCGTAATGATTCATGAAGCTGCAGACTTATCATTGCTGTACGTTTCTGTATGTTTTGTTACAGATCAACGGAGAAGTTTAAAAAGCAAGGCCCACTACCTACCCAGCAAAGGGTAGCCCTCATTTCTGTTGCAGATGAGGTATGCCATGCCAAACATGCTGAAGGGAAGAAGAAAAGATGTTAGAGTCAAAATGGAAGCACAAGGGACGGGCGCCTAGTGCCCAGAAAGCCGCCTCTTCGGTCCCTAACAGGTGTCCGCCCCTGACTCTCAGGCTGCCGCGGCCGAGGGGAAAGGCAAGGACTTCTCACCTGGAAACGGAGGGTCCGAACGGCCCGCGCGGCAGCAGCGTCTCCATGGCGCCCGGCACATCGTTCAGTAAAGGCCTGCTGCGTCTGCCTTGGCCGGGCTGACCCCTTTCTAGGGAAACCGGACGCCCAACATGGGACCCACTGGACTTGGACGTAGCGTATTGTCACATCCCGGAAGGATTCCACTGCTTGCTCTGCCGAGCACATGTCCTGTGCCTGGCACGGTTTCTAGGGCTTTACATGCATCATTTCCTTTACTCCTGACAAAAGCCTTATTAAGAAGGTACTATTCTTATGTCCATTTCACAAACGAGGAAGTGGAGGTACGGAGCGGGCCCCGCCCTGGAGTCCGCAGCTCGCAGAGCCTAGCGGAGGCGCACGCGCCCGCCCCACTGCACCCGTCTCTTGCAGGAGCCTTGCTGGTCATTCGTTCCCTTGTCTGTTCTATCCTACCACCTCGCTACGCCTCTGCTACCGCACACACCGAGTCTCCCCCTGAATTCAAAGCTCATTTTCTATCTGCTGGCCTTCCCCATTAGGCGGTGAGCCTGCTGGGCAGGACGCAGGTCCTATGCACGTCCGTCCGCGTATTCCTATCCTCTCACTTGCAGAGACGGTACGGGAAAACTGCGAAGAGGGCAGGCTCCGGGACTGGACGGCCAGGCCTTCCGTGGCAGATCGCCTGCCTTAATGGCCCTGCGTCCTCACCCTTGCTTGTACCTGGGCCCTTGGCACTGTAACCTGAAGCGCCCGCCCACGTGGGCTCAGCCGTGCAAGCGCTTTGGCCAATGAGAGGTTTGCTGACATGACACAGAGGCTTGAAAAAGGCCTGCGCCTTGGGCTTGCTCTCTCTTGCTCTTCAGATTTCACAATGACAGCATGCCCCATGGGGGATAAGCCTCCTAGAGCCAAACTGTCCCAATCAGGTCAACCAGACTGCCCAGTCACCCCACCGGGGTCACCTGGGGCCAGCCAAGATCCTGCTGGGCCCCAGGCATATGAACGAGCCTAGGCAGTATCAGCCAAATCCAGCAGAGATGAGCTGAATGCCACACGCCTGTGACAGAAGCGAGCGTGTGCGTACGTCACTAAGGCTTCGTGGCTGCTCGTGGTGCAGCGTTGTGGTGGCATTTGTACCCTGTCTCCACTGCTTACTAGGTTTATGACCACGGACAAGTCATTTAACATCTTCAAATATCAGTTTTTAAATTTATAAAATGGAGATAATAATATTTTCCACTTGATACAGTGGATATCAAGAATAAGTTATATATTTTGAGATAAAGTGCCTAATATTTAATAAGGGCTTCACAAAAAATTATTACTATCCATTCACTTATTCAAATAGCGTTTTATTGATGGTCTACGCACACCAAGCACAGTGCTGAGCCCTGGGAATACAAAGGTGGATAATCAGAGACTCTCTGAACCAACTGAAGCCCTGATTCTATCATCTGACCTTTTAAGACCTGGATTCTAGCTTGTTAATATAAAAAAAAAATACCTTTCTGCTTTCCATGCTATTCCTTCACTTACTCCTCACTATTAAGTGCCTACTATGTGCCAAGCACCGGGGATATAAGAATGAACAAGAAATAATCACAATCCCCAAGGAGCTCACAAGGCGCAAGTGTGATGAGCGTGACGAGGGCTCTAACAACAGGAGCGTAGGCTGTAGAGTTACTTGAGGAGGAAAGCTCTTAACTGGCTGAGCTGGGGTTGGGTAGTTCCCGAGCCAGCTCCCAGAGGAACAGACTCGAGCTGGATGCCAAACATTGACATGGGGTGGTTTTCCCAGTAGACTAGGGACGGAGCGGGTGATGGGGAGGACAATCTATTTAGACACTGCAGTGGAGCGGGGCGCAGGAGAAGGTGAGGTTGGAAAGGCAGGTGGTCACCTCGTATGTCATCGCAAGGAACTGGAACATTGTCACGAAAATGATTGGAAGCCCGAAGTGTCACCTGTGCATCTAAGCTGGGCTCTTGGGGAGTACACCTCACTAAAGGCTGAAGGAAGAACCCTGTCTGATGCTGTTAGTCCTGTCGTTACACTGGCATGCGCTTGGGATGATTGGTAAATACCTAATGGCTGGTCACCGGTTCCAAAAAGGTACGCAAATGAGGGAGGGGTTCTCTGTTGTTTGCACAGGCTCTGAAGAACCACCCTGGTTCTCAGAGCTGAGGGTGAGCGGGGGTGTCTACCATGCTGCAAGGGCGGTAGGATGGGGAGGGATGAAGGGCTTTGAAATCGGGGCCTTGGTCTGGGAGGGAGTGAATTTCAGGTTCCCGCAGCGGCTGTGGATCTGAAGTGGGCGACTGTTTGGCTCTCACAATCCTGCCCCTCGGCTATGAAACGATACCGCCAACCCGGCGCCACACACTCACACTTTCTCGTGGAGGCCCAGGCACTGGTAGACGGGTCCAGCGTCCGCAACGCCTTTCATGACTTTCTTTGGGAGCTCTTTGAAGAAGTAGGCTGGTAGGTTGCTGCCGTTGTAGGTGACAGAGTCGCAGGTCACGACTCCTGGGTAGTACATCATCATCCTGGCGGCTATGTTCACTTTTTGACCAATGACTATACAGGCAGAAGAAAGACAAAGAGCAGGAAGACACAGCCATTGAACTGAACGTAACCTGAGGAATCCTGTCCCTAAGTGGCATTTTACCCTTTACTCCCTTCGCCCCTCAGGAGTGACACAGAACTCGCCTTCAGCTACAGGTATTCAGCCTATGGCTATTAAAAACATCTGCAGGGAGGTACCTAAGTCTCCAGGAGCAAAGTTTCTACCTCAGCCGAAGCCATGGGTGCCATCTGCTCAGAGACAGAGGGCCTGTGTACGGGGGCCTCTGTAAGCAGAATCGCCGGAGCCTGAGGCTCTCAGGTGAGCTGGTGGGTCTTCTGCTACAAGATGGACAAGCACAAGCCTGGGACAACAACCCCCAAATGAGGCACAAAGTGGTGTCTGTATGTTTCTGGGCATGAAAATGTTCATTTCATTTCATTTTCAAAATAAATCACCTTCCTTTGGCTATTCCTTAAGAGTGAGTAATGGGGCTGGAAGGGCTGCATGTGTAAGATTGATTTCAGGGGTATTTTAAAGGGTGAGGCACTGTCGTGCACAGACTCGAAAGCCGAACCGTGCAGGTTAGACCCCCAGCTCTACCTCTAACTACTGTGTTACCAAATTACTTTAATTCTTGCATGCCTCAGTTTCCTCATCTGTGAAATGGGGATAATAGTACCTATTCTAGAGGGTATTTTGTAAAGATCAATGAGCCAATACACACACACACACCATGTCGAACAGTGCCTGGCTGCTAGTAAGCCCTCAATTAACAGTACCGCTGAGTGTTCAGTGTCAAACCTCAACACAAACTTAAATGCTCTGGTCTACACATTCCTTTTTTTTTAAAAAAGAACGATTTATAATGGAGAAATTTGACCATACGGTGAAACACAGTATGGTGCATTTTCACGTGCCCATCGGCTGGTCCCAAAAGCCACTCGTCCGTGGCCGATCCTGCCCCAGCCCCTCTCCCATCCACAGTGAAGGAGATCTAAATATTGTACCATTTCAGATAGAACTCTTTGAGTATGTTAGATGTATTATTTCTGAACATCTTCAACCCTCGTAGGATCGGAGAGGGAAATGGTAGTAGGAACGATGAAGTCTGAGATAGCACCTACTTACCATTCCCTGTAGAGACTAGTGTTATTGATCAGCGACGCCGACATCCACAGTTTTTAAGAAGCAGCCCTTACCTGTTCCGGCCATGGAGAGGAGTAACTGTTCGATGCCGGCAGGAACCATGTACAGAGGGCCCTCGCTCCACAAGCTGAGAGCCCCCTGAGGCTCTCTCGGACTGCACACTTCTCACTCGCAGCCCCAGAAGGCGCACTGAGCGAGCCTCGAGCGGTCGATGGGCACAGCTCCGCGGCTCGGCTCCACGCGGAGACCACGAACTCGCCGAGGGCAGGGCCCACGTCTCGCTCATTTATGTCCCTCCTCCCACCAAGCCCGGCGGGAAGGCGCGGTGTTGCAAGAAAGAGAAACGGGGCGAAGCTAGCTCAGCACACCTGTGTACTCGTGTCTCACAGAGTGTCCGACGATCCCGCAGAAGACGGTCCCGCTGGCCACGCCGATGGAGACAGTGCTGGCGCCGGGGAGGGGAGAAGTTGCGGGGCAAGAGATAAAGACAACGGTCACAGGGAGAACGGGGTGGGCGGGGACACGCTGGCGACCGGGGTGGGCAGAGCGGGAAAGGATGGTCCGCAAATTACTCTCTTCCCTTCGTACTTAGTTTAGGGCAGTTGCACACGGTCTGGAGGAATGAAGGACGGACAGTTAGAGACGCAGAACTAGGTTCTTAGAAGTTAAGTAACTCGGTTCACTTTTCTCCTATTTTTCAGGCCTCATCTGAGCTACTTTTCCGGAAAAATAACTTCTCCTCGCCCCAAATGGATGTTCTATCATAAACTATAGAGCTCTCTTTGCTATCGCTGGGAAGAACAAAGTCATTACAAGTCAGATAAGGCGTGGGACATCAAAATCTGACTTTGCTAATCCATGAGGATGCGTGCACGTGTGGATGACGAGGGTCTGACTGGGGGGAAATGCAGAGGTCAAGGGGTGACATGTTAGGGTTGACCTGGGTAGGACTGCAAGTCGGGGTCACTGTGAAGCCTCGGGGCTCCGGGCTCCGGGCGGCCAGGGCTGGGGGCTGGCAAACCTTACCTTTGTACCAGTTTCCCGTGAGGGCGTCATCTTGGGGCTAGATCACCGTGTAAATTCCCAGCCCACGGACTCATTTTATCCCCCAGTTATTAAAGATCAACTCGGGTCTCCAACACGGCGCTGGGAGAGCAACCTCTACCGAGAAGCGACAACCCGTTAGATTCCCGCGAAGCCCGGCGCTGCAGGCCTCACGGAGCGTCCCCCGCCCGCTGCGGCACGGCTGGGTTCGCCCACTCTGCCCGCATGCCGGGGGGCGAGCGGGTGCAGGCACGAGGGCGTCCGGCCCAGAACAGCCCACGTCCCACCTCCCTGCAGCCCGCAGAAGGGTCGGGGACCGGCAGATGGGACCGGGGTCAACACTCACTGGATTTTGTGGACCTGGGAGCAGAAGTCAAATATATCCACGGCGCTTTCCAAGGCATGAGAGACCTCGTTAGCTGCCTTCTCCCCGGGGAAGCCGAAGACGCAGAGGAAGGAGCAGCCCTGCGGGGGAGAGAGTCGGCAGACGCAGCCGGTGGGCGCGCAGCTCCAGGCTGGACCGGCCGCGGGACCCGCCGAGGGTGGGCAGTGAGGCTCGCCTTCTGACCCAGATCTCATTGTGATTTCGGTAAACTTCACGTAAGTCCTAGTGCAGCGTCGACAGCCCAGCTCGAGCCCCGGAAGGGCAGGCTTTTGCTCAGGGACAGTGGGTTGTGCAAAGCTGTTTGTGTGCATGCTCCTGCCTCCTCTCTCCGGGGGCCAAGGTCTTACGCTGCCAGGTGCTGGGTGTAAGTCTGAGAAGCAGCTGTGGAGTCAGAAAACCTGTGTCCCCAGGCCACTTCCCAAGCAGAGACCTGGACAAGTCAATTATGCTCTGTGAACTTCAGTTTATCAATCCGAAAATGGATAGAACATAGCCTGCGAAGGTCGCCTTGGCTATTAAAACGATTAATGTCACATATATAAAACATTAATTATAATACTGTATATAGTTAATCCACATAATTAGCACACACTTTATAAACTATGGTATATATATACTTGATGTCTATATTACATATATTATATTTTTAGATAGCATATATACTTTACAGTAGATATAAAAAGACTTCGTAAACCTGATGCTATTTATGTAAACGTGTCAGATCCTGACTGGCGCTGGGCTCTCTCCCGAAGTGACGGGAAAAGCCTGATTCCAGGTCTGTGAGGAGACCAGAGGGCGACCCCCTCGGGGGCACAGGTGGGTCTGCTTTGCCTGGAAATTTTGCCAGGTGGCTCGGCAAGGTGAGCACTGGACTCGCTCTGGCGAGAAGACTAGCAGCTCTCACTTACTGAGTGATGGCTGGGAGCCAGGCCTTACAAGGGCTTCGTGCACTTTTTAAAACTTTCAACCACCATTTGAGGCAAATGCTATCCCCATTCAAATATCACCCCTGTTATTATTCATGAACAGACTGAGGCTCAGAGAAGTTCGATGCTTGCTTAGGTCACGCAGCTGGGGACTGCTGGAGCCAAGTCTGCGGGACACTACAGACTGTCCCCTTAGGGTGTACGCCCTCCTCTTACGCTAGTCAGGACGAACACGGAAGAACATGCTGGAGGGACTAGGCTGGAAGTCACCACTGCCTCAGAACGCTCAGCACAGAGGTGACCTTTCTCACAGAGAACGGGTCCCTTCTGCCTGGCCGCATGGCACTGCAGCTGCTGCTCATCTTTGCCACCCAGTGCCAGCTGTCCGCCTCCGCAGCATGCTCAGTACACGTTTCCTGAATCAATGAATTAGTGAAGGGCGGTCACACATGCTCTACTCTTAAGAATCAAAAACACCCGAGGTGGAGAATCCGTTCTCACTAGCAATTCCGCAATCGTTTGCTTACCACTTCCGTTCCTCTCTGAGCTTATTAGAGGTGCCCCTCCCAGCCTCCCGCACCCCAGCCCGGCCCTGCCCCGCTCCCCTGATGTGTCCAAGAGGGGACGTGGAAGTGTAGATGGCAGGTGGGGATTATGGGAAACAAGCAGCTGGGGCGTGAGGGTGACTAACCCCTGACACGGAACATCGGGGAGACGCACTACCCGTGGGCTGGACGTAAACGGAGAGCGAGGCCGGTCAGGCACCGCGGTTAAAGGCGCAGACTGGGAAGTCACACTGCCCGGGTTAGAGTCCCACCCGCCATACTGGCTGGATGACCACGAGCAAAACTTCATCTCGTCTTGTCTGGGTATCCTCATCTCTGCCTCAACACCCCCTTCTGTAACGTGGGGGGAACAGGGAGAGAATGCTCACGAGGCTGAAACGAGCGGTAAAGTGCTGAGAGCAGCGTCTGGGCCGCAGGAAGGGCCACGTCCGCCACGTGAGCTGTCGTTACACGTGTAACTGAGGACTGCTGTTTCTAGGCGGAAGGTGTCTATGTCCTGACTCTGCACGGTGGCAGACGGTTGCTTCCTATATTTATCGTGGTGAGGACATCGTGAGCTATGTAAACGTCCAATCTCTATGTCGTACTCCGGAAACGAATATGACATTGTATGTCGACTACACTTAAATAAAAAAAAAATGTAAGTGCCTGTTCCTCTCCTCTCACCCACATCCCTGGGTGTGGACGCCAACCGTAAATTCTTGGCAGGTTCCCACCCCTCTGCTCGCGCTCACCTTGTCAAACATGAAGACTTTATTGATTTGGCCTCTGAATGCCCTTAGAACAGAGTTGATGTGCACAGAGGCATCCTGGATGGCCGAGCCTATGACTTCGGCTTTGCCTTGGTCCTTAAACACCAGGTTCACGAACACGATCGTCACTGGGCGGAGCTCAGACAGATAACCCTGAAGCTGCTTGTCATCGATCTGCCGAGGAGAGAGAGGGCCTTCCCTTAGCATCCTCGGTGGTGGGTCCTGCCTCCCGAAACACACACACACACACACACACACACACACACACACACACACACTCACACACACGAGAAATAATCACTGGGTGTGAACTAGCCTCCCGAGGTCCTCCGCGGAAACTGAGGCTATCACCGCGTGCACAGTGCACATGGCAGAGCCGCCCGAAGTGCGGCAGGTGGAAATGGGATTCGCTAGCACCATCGGCCCAGTCGCGTGCGATGGGCACTTCGGCATGCGCTCATTTTTGGAGAGAGCCGCGCCCTCGCCCTGACTGCTCCTCCCTCTCGCCCGTCTGAGTCATCGCGTTAGGAGACGGGACTGCCATTCTTTTTTCCTCTCTTACGATTTAGGGGTGAGAAGAGCATACTGGTTTCCAGCTGCCCAACGTCCCTGACACCCCGAAAGCCAATAAATTAGATTACGAAAATACCTGCTTCAATATGCTTTCCATCACATACTTCTGTAGGGACAGCTCGAGGTCAGGGTTGGATTCCAGCATGCATGCCAGCCTCAGGATATCTGAGAGGGCGGAGGGGGGCGGCTCAGGGAGAGAGGGGTGGGACTCCGGCACACCCACTGGTTAAATGGGGCCCAGGGAAATCCGGCGAGAAGTTCTGAGAGGTTGCAGGTTTCCCAAAATTCCTTTGCTCATAGCTCAAAGCCCTGTTCTAATTACCATCACGCTTTGGAACTTGGGGACAATTCTACCTCCAGACGTGAGCTAAAACTATTGCCGTAGGCAATGGGAGTGGACGGATGAGGGGGTGACGACAGAGGGCGATGGTGGCAGGACGAAGGGTTGAGAGGGCAGAAGGAGTGAAATCCAGGAGCCTGGCTTCTCACCCGGGGTTGACGGTGACTCGTTGTGGAAGGCTAGACGAGTCACCACCCCACTGCCCCGGCTGCCGTGTGAGCAAACTGAAAGTCAGACGACTTTCCGTCTCTGTAGATGCTCTGCTTGACCAGAAACGCCATCTTTCCAGGTGGCCAATCTCCAAACACCAAGCCAACTCTGGGCCTCTCAACCCGAACGAGGTCGACTACGGGGTCCCAGCCAGTCAGACCTTTTCTATTCGTCTCTTCTTGTTCTTTGTCCTTTACCCTATCAATCTGCTTGACTCCCGCCCCATCTCGTAGTCCTCTGAAAGGAGACCGTCAAATAAAGTTGGTGCGTATCACCTAAAATTGTCTTCTTTAATCACTTTTTAACGACACGTTCACGCCGGAAGGCCTGTTGGACATCCCGTAGGGATGAGTCTACAGTCCAGGACAAACATCTGGGCTGAATTCTGGCAGTTAGGGCGGGGACCTGCGCGAGGCCAGCTTCTCGCAAGACTTGGGAGCAGGGTGTCCTTAAACTCCATGCCCTGGGCCCCTGCTCTCCTCACCCCGGTGCCGTCCTGCTGGGAGGCACAGGGAAGTCGAGCTCGGGAAGAGCAGAGGGTCAAGGGCCGATCCCCGGAGGTGCCGAGTCATAAGGACGGGAGGGAGACTACGCAAAGGCCACCGGAAATGCTGGTGGGGGAGGGGCAGACGTGAAACTAGGACAGACGAGGAGAGGGCGAAGACTGGTCTAGCAGGGAGAGCAAGGCCAGCGCGCCCGGCACGGGGCCTGAGGAGAGGCCGCCTGGTGCCGCTGGTCGACGGTCCCTGATGGCCTTGACAGAAACAGTCTCCGCGGACAGACAGCAGGGGAGGGCGTAGAAGCCGATGTCAGGGGCTCAGCTCTGAGGCGCAGGTGCGTGCCTGCCCCCGAGGCCCGCGCAAAGTTTACTGAAACTCGTTTAAGGAAGCGGGAGGCTAGAGAGCAGAGGCACGCACACAGACACCGCTCTTGTGAGGACTTCGGGGGGGAAGGTCAGGAGGGGAAAGTGGGGCTCGGATGCCGCATTCCTTCCTTCATCACGGGGGAGGCTTGGACACGCCAGGGGAGCAACAGGGAGCCGCAGGTGCCGGGCCGAGAATGGCGGCTGTGGGTAGTGGACAGGCCCCTCTGTGTGCGCGCTCGGGACCGGCGGCGACCTTGGCGTTGGCATAAGGCCTGCTGGCCACTGGGGGAGGCAGAGGCTTCTGCCCACGGAGGGTACTTACTTTTGTGGTCACCGGAAGGATAATACTCCATAAAAGTCATACAGTTTGTAAAAAATTCATCGAAGTTAAAAGTAGGGGGTGGTTTTAAGAAATTAACCTAAATTAGAAAAAAAAAAAAGAAAAGAAAAGACTTTGGTTATTCTGAGGGTCGTCTGGAACTTCAAATGTAATTTCTCAGAAGAAAGGGCAGGGAGTATGCTTTGAACGTCCGGGAGATGATAAACAGAGACGGGCATACTTAAAAACGAAGTTCTTTAATTTGGACGTGATCACATGAAAAATCTCTCTGATTAGTCATTCAGATCTCCATCTTCAGCATAGACGCACAGGGCCATTCCCGAGGGCGCGAACCTGTACACTTTTCCACTCTTAGAATTTCTTTCTCCTTTCATAACATTTTAATTCGAATAAAATCTGGTTAAACTGTACACCATTTGGTGCCCTAAAATGTATTAGTGTCATCACTAGTAAGATTCATATCAAGGTCACGAACCCCATGACGGGGCGTGCGGAGGATGGCGCGATCTCTTTTCTGTGGTATTCTCGTACCAAAACGTGGAGGATCTTAGTCCGACAATGAGAAAACATATCGGGCAAACCCGAATGGAGGGTTTTGTGACCTTAGGTGTCAAAGCCGCAAGAGGCAAGAAAAAAAACGAGGAGCTGTTGCTGCGGATTGCAGGAGGCTGCGTGACAGGTGCAGTGGGGGCCGTGTGGGAGCTTGCGTGGGGTCCTGGACAGCTGCGGGAAGACGGCGAAACCCAGACCAGGCCTTCGGTCAGCGGACAGGACTGTGCCGCCGGTGTTTTTCTGGCGTTGACTATTGCACTCTGGTTATGGAAGAGGTTAACGTTCGGGGCAGCTGGGTGAGGGGGACGTGGAAACTCTATAACTTTTGAACTTTTTCGTGAGTCTGAAATTAATCAAAGCCACTTTTAAAGGCATAAGGATTGACTGAGGAAGATGGGGCCCAGGGCGTTGCTGCCGGCCAGCTGGGCCACGCAGCCTGCCCGAGCGTCACCGCGAGCGTGAGCGGGGAGGGGCGTGAGGCTTGCGGGCTGATGCGCAGCGTGGAGGGCCTGTCCCCATCGCCAGCATCTGTGTGGGTTCTGTTTTTTCTCCCCGTCTGTCATGCAGGCCCTTCCCTGGTTGGGGGAGCAGCACGCTATCCCCCGCTTCGCACACTCTCGAAGCACAGTTTCTCTAACTGGCCATGTCCCCTCTTGGTCGGTCCTCAGTGTTTTCTGCTGGGCAGGGCCACGGGAGCGGTCACCCTCCCTCGCTAAGCTTTGCCGCCCTGAGCACCTCCCACCCTCGCCCTGAGTAAGGCGGGTGCTGGGTGGTGCGGGCGAGGGCCAGCAGCAGCGCTCAAAGTGACAGCTATTCCCTGTGCTCCGGAAAACAGCTGGCGACACGCCCCCTTTGTCAAGCAAGGGCCCCGGACCCCAAAGGCCTCGACACCGGAATCCCGCACCTTCAATTAGGACGGAGACGCCCGAACACTTCCTCCCGGAGGAGCTGCCCAGACCAAGGCCTTGTAGGTCTGGCCCACCCTGGCCCCACCCGAGCGTCCTGTCGGGCGTCAGGGACACCGCCTTCCCGGTGGCGTCTGTGAGCCGGGCCGCTGGCTGGCACAGACCGGCAGAACTTTCTGCGTGTGGCGGCATCGCGCGTACCTTAACTGCTCTCTGATCTGGAATCCTCTCAATTTCAACCATGCTCCGGTCACAGAGCTGCCAGCAGTTTGGTGACAGAATGACGTCGTTCATCTGCGCCATGTTCTGTGCAAGGCGCACGTCTTCCACCGCCTGACCGATCACCAGAAAGTAGTTGCGTGTTTCGTCCCCAAAGACCAGCATGGTGATGTGGCCGGCGGCCAGCCCTGGCGAGAAGGTTTGCACAAGACGTCCTGGGCTGCTCCCCAGCAGCAGCGCTTCTCGGAAAAATCAGAACCTTGGCGCAACCAAACCTAATTCCTAAAGCTTTACGGGGAAATTAGAGCCCAGGCCTTGCCAAATGCCTCTTCTCACAAAGCTAGAAAGCTAGCTACCAATGGTCACCTTTCTGTGACATCTGTCTCCTTAGATGGTCCTAGCAGTCCCCAAAGTTATTTTATCTTGTCCACAATTAATTTATACTTAAGGGCAACAGAAAGCAACTTTAATAATTCCTATTTGGGGAAGATGTGCATTGTATCAGAGATAAAGGCAAAAAAGGCTCTAACGGAAAAGAAACACCCAGGTGACAGACAGAGGGGAGAGGCTGGGGAAGACAGCAGGCATTTTGGTAGTCAGGTGTCCCCTCCAAGTGTGGCCTCCGATTGTTTATATAATTAACCGGCGACTGGTCTCGTGACACTGCTGAATCCATGTAACCACAAGCTCCTCTCTACTGTGCTTAAGGACACACATTGCTGACAGCAGCAAGACCTGATCACAGCAATGGTAACAACGAAGGCCACTTCGTGGAGTGGTCACTGTGTGCCAGGTACTATCCTAACCACTCAGATTTACTCTGTGTGAGAGCCGATGAAGTAGATATTAGGATTAGTCTCAAGTCTCTTAACTGCTAAGGGAGGGAGCTAAAATTCTGGGCAGCAATTCCCCGGTTGAAGACGTGACCGTGGGGCTGGGCCACTGTGTCCCTCCGTTTGCTCGTTTTCTCGTTTTCTCTTCGGGAGGGAGAGGCGTCGGGAGTGAGGACCGCACCAAACTGCCGTGGCATCTCTTCTCCGCAAAAGCTCACCTATCTTGACGCGGACGTCCAGGCCTTCCTCCAGCTCCTGGCTCTCGAATAGCCCGTGGATCTCCAGGCTGCATTTGATCACCACCGTGATGAAGTTCTTCAGCTGCCTCCGCTCCACCTTCCACAGGGCCAGAAGTGCATCGCCTCGGGGAGACAGAGCCAGCGGGGGCTCAGGACCTGCCCTGGGGATCGGCCTGTTCCGAACGGCTCTGTGCAGCAACGTCCCCAACCCGGCTCCTGGCCGCTGCTGTCTCTGAGATGCCCCCTGTGTCAGAGCACAGGCCCCTCAGCACTCCTTTCTTACCCCATCCCACCTCAGGGAGCCCCCCTACCTGCAAATTTTAAGATGTCTCCTCCAAAAATCAATACCTCTGAGAAAGAAAAAAAGAGAGAGAGAAGTGAAATCAAACTCTGTTTCTTAAAGCTAATAAAACGAAGTCGTTCTTCACTAATGGAATAGAATTCTGGTCAAGAGAGTAGCAATTCAGAGGACAGACTCATCCTGAAGATGTCATCCCAGACACGTCACCTAGACCCACCTGAGAGTTTCTGCAGCTGTAGAATGAGAACACTGGACGGGACTGAGCATGTGCTCTGTTTCCGTGAATGGGAAAGAAGGAAGGAAGGAAGGAAGGAAGGAGGTGTAATTTCTGGTGAGGTCTGAGGACAGCTACCCCACTGCCATGACCGTGGGAGGCTTTGGGCTGCAATGTGGTGACAGCTGGGGCCCGAGCGGGCATGACTAAGCACATGCATGACAGGGCCCAGAAGAACTGAGAATCGGAAAACTAACTGTATGGTCAACTGGGGTCTTGTTTGTTTAGGCTGTGTGGCAGAGATGGCCATTTTTCCTTCTTTCTCATGCTTTATCACACATTTGTCGAACACTGTCGTGCTGAGTGGGATGCAGGAAAGAATTAGACGCGGGTTCTGCTTCCCAGGAGCATCCGCGTTGCCCGGTGGGGGAGGCGAAGGTGTTGCTGGGGAACGAGACCCCGGCGAAGGGCGGGGCCTGGACTTTGCCTCGGCAGAGCAAATTCTTTGCTTCCCCAATAGTGGGAATTCGTAACACCAACGAGATGGAGGGCAGAGGTCGGAAAGGAGACCAGACTTTCTGGTCAGCGCTAAGTGCTCCAGGAGCCCTCATTAAGAGACATGTCACCACTGGGTGAGTTACGAAGCGCTCACCTAGTCGTACAGCAGTGTCCTACTGATGCTAGCTTCTGTGGGCAACTGAGTATCGTGAGGGTGTAACCACTATAGTTCTTTCCAAAGTTGGCTCTAAGTCCTTGAACAAATGTGAAACCTTCTTTCCCTCAAGTAGTCTGTACCGGTGAGGTGTGACGACGTGCCTTCACTTGTCCTGTACTACGTTTCAGAAAAGCCTGGTTTGATCCACATCTCGTGGGGACAACGAAGAGTGCGAAGCCCTAGCACCCCCTCAAACGCAGAGACCGCGCACAGACGGCGTCTGCGGCCAGGGGCCCGGGGACACTCACTCTCCACTATGGCGCTTATGTAGTGGTTGAGGAGCTCCACCAGCTGCTCGGCCCCTCGGTCCATGTACATGGCTGTGCTGAACTTCTCCGTCATCTCGGTGAAACCTGCGAGAAGCGTGCGGCTCATTCCCCCCGGCCGCGTGGGGAAGCCGGCAGGGCCGGGACGGGGAGGCCACGCTGGCGAGCAGTGGGCTCCGGCTTTTCGGGACGGGCAGGGCCTCTTCCGAACGGTCAGGTGTCATCTACGCGGCCTCCCCGCTCCGGGGTTACTACCTGAGGGTCAGGGAAAGCGCCAGACTCCTCCTCCCCCCAAGTTCTCAGCGTGCACAGGGATGGCGGCGATCCCTTTAGCTGGGCCTAGAACTTTCCATTTCATTGTGACGAAGATGCACACACTTCCGAAGGGGTGGTCATTTTACTCTCAAGATGTCAACGACATCTAGGGATGCCCCTTTCTGAGGTCGGTGTTGCCCAGGGTGCCTGTGGAGCTTGGGGAGCTGAGTCTGTGAAGCCGGGGCCGGGACAGTTCCAGTCATGGGGCCCGTGACTGGAGACGCTTGGGAAGGGGACGTGAGGGGCCATCCGCCCTCCCTCCTGCTTTCTCTGTGGGACCCTCTGCTGTAACGGCACAGAAGCTGGCAAACTGACACCCCCACTTGCGATCAGGCTGTGTGTGTGAATCCGACGCGAGCCTGTTCTTCGCCCACATTAAACGCCCCTTTTGCGCTTGCCTGAAATATCGACAAACATCAAGACTCCATCGAAATAGTCCACAGAGGGTCGCTCTGGAGAGAAATCGCCATAGACAATGAGGTCTGGCAAGTGAGCGGCTATTTTGACGATGGCCCGGTCCTCTAAGTCTTCCTTTCGAGTGTTCGTGTTCATGGTCAAGGCGAGTGGGCCGGATTTTATGGTCACAGCCAACGGTCCCCAAACAGACCTTGTGGAAAGAAAAGCTGAGAATGGAGAAAACTGACTTATGTCCACTCACTCGCTTTCCTATTTCTTTTTCTGCATTTGCTTCATTCCGACCGGCGGACGGCCTGTTTCAGTGACTGGGTGGTGATAATGCCTCAGTAGTTGAGTCACGCTTCAAAAGGGCCAGTTTTCTGTAAGAGAGCCCCTCAGAACTAGCCTCCAACCCTGAACAGGGTGACATAAATGAGCACCCTTACAAACGGGACGGGGCGAAGGAGGGTAGCTGGATGCATCTGCCCATTTGCACAAAGGGGTGAGTCCTGTCATAGGGGGGCCAGCGGCACGGTGTGCTCGGCCTCGTGTCTCCTCCTCCCCTCCCCCTCCCTTTTAGCCTGTCATCTTTTCTCTGTCCTTGAAAATTAAAAAAAAAAAGTGCAGACGTGAGTTCATATGTGTGAATATTTACATAAAGGTGAATAGCAAAGTGGAATATCATATAAACAAGAGTAAGTGTATTAGGGTACAGTCCTAAATAAATGGAAGGGAAGTTTTAAAGGGTGTGTGTGTGTGTGTGTGTGTGTGTGTGTGTGTAAGGCTTTAAACTGTAAGCGGAAGAAAATGTTGAAATTTTAATTCATTATCCAATTAGTTCTAAGAAAACCAGGATTCCCTAAGGCCTTCCTTCAGCTGCCGGAGCCAATTAAATGCTCATGCCTGAAAGTTGTAAAAATCATGCTCCATCACCTTAAAAAGGAACTGCATCCTGACTTTTAGGAGTAATCCAAGTTCCTAGAATAGGTGATACAGAAAATAAGAGAATTTTTTTTTTTTTTTTTTAAGAAGAACTGTTACTAACAGGGAGGAACTGGTTAGTTACTGCAGCCAGAGGTAGGTCATACGGGGGTACTTAAAAGTAGCATAAGGAAAAAGCGAGACAGTTAACGTGTATCTTAGAATTAAGGAAAGCATTTTTTTTAAAATCAGCGGAAACAGTATTTGAACAAACAAAAAAATGTATAGAAATCTCTAAAATGAATGTTAAATATTCGGTATTAGATCATCCTTCAAAGGGAAGCCTTGGTGAACCGAAATGTTAAGAGTGAACAGAAGATGGGAGGAGAAGCAGCCAAGTTTTTTAAGAGCAGCATCAAGCCACAGCATGTACCAGGAACAGTCGATAAATACGTAAATCAAAAAATAATTTCGGAGAGCAAATTCGACAAGTGCTATACGAACTTAGAAGAAAGGTGTGAGAAAACCGAATGACCAGAATGAAGTAAGACTTAGGAAAAACGCTGAAGAGAGCCCAGACTTTGCAGCTTTGTTGAAAGCAAGGCAATTAATCAAAGAGGAATGAGGACAAAGCTTAAATATGATGTACTACACTATTCTTCTTTTGTTCCTGCCTCCTCCACTGTGGAGAGCTGAAAAGTATGGGAAATGTTTCTAAGAAAGGACTGAAATCCAAGAAAGTAGTGATGAAGCGGCTAGTCATTTAAAATAAATTCAAGTAGCCAGTCCTAGATAAGCGGTATTCACAAACACTGAACGCACGGACAGATGTAATGTCAGTAATCTAAAAAAAAAATAATGGAGAACAAAAGCTGGGCTGGAAAACTGGAGAGGGGCACATTTTCTTCTGAATTTCAAAACACAGACTGGTAAACACGAAGTGTCAGTCCGTACAAGCTAGGTTCTGCCTCATTAACACA